TATCTGATAAATCCAAACTTATTGTATAAGTTTAGAAGTTCTGTTTTTAGTCTTATTTTTAACATTCCCTTTTCCAAGTATAAAATGCATTTTTACCCTTTGAGATTGCGCAAGACTTGGTCAAACTTACCGTAAAGTGCCCTTTATGGTTTTATTATTTTTACAGCATTTTAAATTTAAGCTGATTTTAAATTCATATTAATTCCATAGTGTGTGTTCTATCAACAACGTTAATTTTATTTATCTTATATGATATTTTCTGACATCGTTGCTAAAAATCCCATTTCAGCACAATTAATAGATATATATCAACTGTCTATAAAAGGTACCTGTACTGTGAATTTCAACCCAAGCACAGAATTACCACCAGGGACCATGTACTACAAGCAAGTATTGTGTAAACAAACACACCCTTGTGTGCAGTATACTTTGACAGAGTCCACGATATGTTTGTGGGTGGAAGAGTCGCCTCTATCATATACTGAAGCTGAGGACTGTTGCAAGTGTAAACTAATTTTAACTTTAAACTCTCCTGCAAATTTTTCCATGTATCACTTACGGGTTTGGGGAGGGTGTCAATAAAATAAAATAAATCTCTATTTAAATCCTTCAAGGAATCCCATTTTCTGACATATTCTTGAATGAGTCATTCAACGGTGCTCAATTCATACACCCATACTCAAACATCCACCTCCTTCATCAGCTCCACGACACATCATCAATTCTCTTTCTAGCCAGGTATTGACTACCTTATGTGTCTCCAAAAGCGTTATCTCCTCTACGCCTTCGTTCATTAATTCTGCACACCCATAAAACACCATCCCCTATGCGGCTTCCTTCCTCAATACTGCACACCCCTAAAACACCATCCCCTATGCGGCTTCCTTCCTCAATACTGCACACCCCTAAAACACCATCCCCTATGCGGCTTCCTTCCTCAATACTGCACACCCCTAAAACACCATCCCCTATGCGGCTTCCTTCCTCAATACTGCACACCCCTAAAAAACCATCCCCTATACGGCTTCCTTCCTCAATACTGCACACCCCTAAAACACCATCCCCTATACGGCTTCCTTCCTCAATACTGCACACCCCTAAAACACCATCCCCTATACGGCTTCCTTCCTCAATACTGCACACCCATAATACACCGTCCTCTAATTCAGACACTCACTCAAAATGTTCACTTATCGCCTATCCACCTATTTTATTCCTATAGAGTTTATCATTTCTAAGACCAGAAAACTTCACACCGCATTACGTAATGTAACTATTTTTAGTCACGGTTTCACAAAGCATGGCTGCAAACACTGTACTTCAGTTTATATATAGCAGTAACAATTTCTTTGTAAAATATTTCATAAAATTAAGTTTTTAAAATGGTTTTGTTCTAGATTAAGACTCTTTATGCTGAAAAACATGAATACAGAAGTTCCGAGCAGCTGTTTAGAGATTTGCCAAACGGAAAACCGAGGATGTTTTATTAGTATATTTTCGTCAATAATGAGATTGGCCAAACTGAATACCCGGATGTCCTATTAATTAAGATATTTCAGCCATTAAATGACAATTCCGATTAGCACTTAATCCCTACTATTACTTTTAAATTAACAAACAAATATAAGTTAAGACATTAATAAATGTGCATCTACAATAATGTTGTTGTCTTATTATTAATTGTTGCAAGGAATAAAAATAAAGATTACTAAGGTTTAATAATCGTGAGTCTCCACCTCAAAAGACATGTGACTACTTTAATATGGTAATGGGGGAAGGGGCTGCCATCATGTTGGGTAATAATAATAATAATAATAAAGTTCATTTAAAAAAACACGCTTCATCCCCAAAGGCTCGAAGCGCAGTACAAAGTCAACAAAAAACAAATCTATAATTTACCACATTTAAAACAAACGCAACACTACAAAAACTAATTACTAGCATACAATGTCAAAGTCTTTCTCGCCATTTCAACCGTAAGCAACACAGCCATTATGCATTAACTGGAAAATAAGGTAGACAATCATCCCAGAAGGTGTTTGCGAAACAGATGTGTCTTTAAATCGGTTTTAAAGGACTCCAGTGTCTGGTTGTTTCTGAGATTGACAGGAAGGGCGTTCCAAATTGTTGGACCAGCAAATGCGAAAGTGCGCTCAACAACTAATGAACATAATATTGAGTCACAACAATTACTAATGAACGCTCATACTCGACATATCCCCCCTCTTTCATTTCAGATTTAACTAAGGGAGTTAAATCGTCACCAGACACACAAAATTTACATGAATTACATCAAGAAGAGACCTTAAGCCATATGAAT